GGGTTTATTTGAAATATCCTCATTTTGCTCCTGTCACGTAAAGAACCGGCCGAGCATAGCTCTCTCCATAGCTCGCTGAGTAACATGAAGCTTTTCCATAAGGCAACTGTGTAGGACCATGTCTCGGTTCCATAGTTTATCACTGGCAATACGCAGAGGTTAAATACCTTCGTCCTCAAATTTTTAGGTGTATTGTATTGTATGAGTGTATATTATCATGCCTCCGATAAAACTTTATTACTACTCCTCTCTATCCAAAAGTTACCTTGATGAGATCACTTTCAGTGATAAGACCGACCACTAGTTTTCTCAGTGTGATATTTTCTTGTAACGTTTTTTTTTTTTTATTTTCAATAAGTTTACTACTGTAATCTTTTGGAAGAAATAAAAAAGAGTATCTACCTATTGCACAGCAATGCGATCTACTTACTTGGGTCGCCACTAAAAGGGGAAGAGCAACTACTAATAATTAATAATAGTAACGGGAAATAGTAGCCCCTTTGCTACTAATATATCCCGCCAAGTTGGTCTCCACGCAGTTCCTCCTGGGAACCATCGTTTCCTGGTAAATTAAACCTGCTTCTATCATAATATAATTTTCCTTACTGGTGCCCTGCTACTGTATAATCTATAGTGCAAGTGGGGTTACCATTCCATTTACCGAAGGGAAAACAGATTGTATAATAATGGCGATTTTTTTTTATTGTTAAGGAAGCCAATGACCATAAGGTTCACATGATGGAGCGACTACCATCGCTTATGAATTAAGTGTTAATGTGAGGTAGGTTGCCAGTGCGTTGCCGACCTTTTAATATCGTATTATTAGGATATTAGATCATTCTTCATAGCATAGAGTTTATGAGGTCCTCTACCCCTGAAAATTCGTCACGATAGGCTAACTTGATCTCTGGTATTCTGAGCTAAGTTACTTACATTGTCATTTTAACGTAGTACTAACCTAAGTGTGCTAGATTTCGTAAAATTTCATATAATATATTTTAAAATTACTTAAAATTGACAAATTTAACGCGTATTTAGCAATTTTAAAAGTGATGTTTATATGCCAAAAGAGCATGCAGCTCGCCTAATTATAAATTATTAAACTTTCGTAATTTTTAAACTTTCGCTTAGTTTACTTATATTTTAAATACACAATCGGGACTTATCACGATGTTAAAGCCTTTACAGGTAAATCGTGCCTACATACCCGCTTCTTTATTGCCGAAGTTTTGACGTGGATTGCCTGTCGAAATATATGTTTAGATACTTTAAACAGAATACAATACTTTAGATAAGATAGGTATATGTGTAGTAATTTCACAAGTAGGACGCCTTAACAATATATAAGAGCAAATAATGGAACAATAGAATAGGCCACCCATTCCTTTCCCATGGGTGTGTTAAGTGCCGACTGGATGGGCAGCAGCGTCCCTCTTAAAACATCTCTAAAGCCTAACTGCGGTTGGCACCCGCCTGCCAAGCGTGGCAAATACTGGCAAAACTTCCTTTATGGGGAAGGCTTATGTTCAGCAATGGACAGTTAATGGCTGAAATAATAATGTATCAATAAATGATGTATTGCATAATAAAAAAATCGATTTAATGAGATACTTTTTGTTGTATTTGTTGGATTTTTTGTGTCGACGGAGTAACATATATGAAAAATTGAAGCAAACGAATGTCATATTTATTAGCAATATGCCTAAATATTTTTACATATTTTATTTCTGTTTCCCTTTCTCCGTTCTACCGCTTGTATAACGGATTTTATTCTGAGAAATTATTTGACATGACAGATAAAAACATATAACTCCGATTCCAATAAATATTGAAATAATCGAGATGAGGGTAGGAAGATGATGAATTATTTGAAATGATGTCCACAGTCACTTTTTTTTCGCATCGCTCGCCATCGACAGGGAATTCATCGTCATAAGTTAAAACCCTAATGGGCGTATACAGTGCAGTTTCAGAAGAGCTTCCTTCCGCGAACGCTCAAGCTGTAAATGTCTTAAAACATCACCAAAAGCCAAACTGGGGTTGCCAACCCGCTGCCAAGCGTGGCAACTATTTGCAAAACTCCTCTTATGGGGAAGGCTTGTGTCCAATAGTGTACAGTTAATGACTGAAATAATAAACACATGATAGAATTTATAACATCAGTTGAGTAGTTTTTGAGTTTATCTATTACAAACAAACGAACAATCAAATCTTTTGTCTTTATAATATTAGTATAGATTTTCAAATGATACAAATATTTTAAACTGTTATTATTTTTTTAATTCTTAGTTACTTGAGCAATTAATTTAATATAGATGACTTAGTACTTCATGATATATTCCGCTCTTCACTTTCGTAATTCTTCGGGTTCTCCAAACTTCTTCTCCAGTGATCCCAGTCGTGATGGTGGTAATCGGTGAAGATCTCGTATGTTATGTTCCTCTTCTGTATAAATAAGTTTCACTGAATTGTTATATATTATTATTATTATTGTTTAAATTTAAAATTAGAATTTTGTTAGTCTTTATAGCTTATGTCAATAAGGGTTAAAATAGTGTGTGTGATTCAGGATTATGACAAAATTTCATTTAAAATTGTTTATTTGTTGTTATGCAAACAAGTAACAAGTAATAAAAGAGTAAGGCCGTGTAGTCACAGTATAAAATGGGCCATCTTTCCCTATTTCGTGAATGTTATAAGAGGCGACTAAGAGAAATTAATGGTCGAGATATGGGCAGCAGTATCCCTCTTAACCCTTAAAAGCCTGATTTTTTAAATCAAATAAAAAATATCTGTGTACCCTTTACTGTGTTTACTAATGGAGAAAAATAATAAAAAAATCCAAATGATATTTTTATACATTTATTTTGAAAAAAACATTTGGTAACATGTAAACAGCCAAATATTAAAATAAAATCGATTGTAAGCGCCCAATGCGATTTATAACCCCGGTATCAAATTTGAAACTTCAGGTATTTAAGGGTTAAAACTTCACTAACCCGCTGCCAAGCGTGGAATCTACTGGCAAAACACCATAATAGAAGGCCTATGTATTATATATCAATGGACAGTTAAGGGCAAATATGATCATGATATTTGCAACTGTTAAATATTTCATAATACTTAAAATGGCAAATAAACTGATTCACGCGATGGACAGTTGTCATCGTCTACAAACATGAGCAGTTGTTTATGTTGTAAATAGCAGGATGCAGTAATAAAACATATATATATATTTATGATATAAAGTAATAAGCTTAGTGAAAAAATACAAGACACGTTTTATGAAAATCTAAAAAAAAATACATCAGTGTCAACAGCCAGTATTAAAACTCCAACAGTTTATAGATATTTGTTTTGTTTATAGTCCTCAGAAATCACAATGGAATACACTGTGATTTCTGCGGACTAAGATGATTATTCCCATGTAATTTTACTGGTATACCATATCTTTCAAAACGAAACACAGCCATGTCATAGTCATGCAAACACAATTGCTTCACGGCAGAATGATGGATGTGATAGCGGAAGAAATACAGATGAGTTTTTTTTTTATAACATTGGGGCCAAACGAGCTTACGACTCATCTAACGGTAAGTGATTACCCCCATAAGCACCCGCATCATGGGAGAAATTGCAGGTGTGTTGTCGGCCTTTCAAGAAATAATGTTTATGCTGTAATGTATAATGCTAAGGATTGTAAAATTTACTTGGTGCTCATTATTTTGAGTTTTCCTTCTCTAGTTTAAATAAATCAGTTTATTAATTTTATTATTTACTATTTAAACTTTATTTATCAATATGATCTGTTGCGCTTTGTTCTCTTAATTATTTTTTATGACTTCATCGAAATGACAAGAGATGACAATTTGTTTTGTTTTTTCTTTGACACCATACATTTATATAATCGCATGAAACATACGCTTTTTTTGAGAATACTCAGAATAAGTCGCACACAATTTATATATACAGAAAAAAACCTAAACAAATTAGTAAGAGATACCTCCTAACATTAGGCCATTCCCATACAACTGTAATTTCTTTTTTGTATATTTACTAACTTTATTGCTGTAGTCTTTTGTGATGGTAACAATAATAGATACTCTGTATATAATGGACAAGAGATATACATTACATTACAGTTAGATTCAAGATATTTTACTTATTTCCAATTGAGAATTTTATTCAATGAATCGTAAGCTTGTTTCCCATTCAAAAATATATAAAAGAAGCAGGTGTTATTCACAATCGACAAAGAAAACCCTATCGACCCGAAAATTCTCTTTTTAATAGACCCCCGCTTTAACTATATATAAGTACACAAACAGACACACCCTACATTTTTGTAAAGTATTATATTGCTTGTTTTAATAGAATTTAAAGAAAATAGTTAATTTTAAACTTTGCGTTGTTTATACATATTTAAATACACTATCAGAACTTAACGCAATAAAAAATTTAGTGAAAAATTTTTCGACGTAGATTGTATTACGTCGTGGTCACGACAGAACGTCGGCATTAAAGAAATAGGTATGCAGGTACTATTTACTTGACGCGAAAGTGTATTTAATGAAAATATCTCACTAGAGGGAGTCTTGGTACAAAAGTCGTTTGCTTGGGCACCTCTGTCCCATTCGTATTTCTACAGTGAAGCAGGTGTGTTTCGGTTTTAAGGGAGGGATATGGCAGTGAATTTACAGAGTATAGGGTACTTGTTTGCCACTTTTATAGTATAAAAAAAATTGAAAATAAATCCAATCAAATAACCGCATATAATATGGACCTCCTCAAGTTAACACCTAATTCAATAAAATATTTACAAAGATATTGTTAAATCTTCAAGCAATCTCCATCTTAATAATTAGTAGGGTTAATAAATAAAATGTAGCAATAACAAATAAATTCACAATAAACTCATTTAATCTATAATAAATAATTGTTAGTACAATTAATATTTATAATAAATTAATAAATTATATAATATTATTCATTTTCCGTCAAATGCTCAGCTGTTTGTATAAATGCGGAATCGGCGTTATTGTACAAGTTAGTACAAAGAATATACAAACTAAGTATACAATAAATATATTTTATTTACATTATTAATTTATAGTTGTGTTATTTAATAAATTAGTTAATTATAAATTAATAAATAATATTGACAGTAAATTGAAAAATGATTATAATAAAAATCGTTTAGAGCGTATTTATTTATTTTTTTAATATTTTTCAATTCACTGTCAACATGAACAGATATAAATACCGCTTTCTGTATTTTTTTTTTTCTAAATCCTATAGAAAGCGGTATATCAAATTTAACCAATAATAAACAACCTGAATTTATTTCGTAATACATTCGATTATTTTCAGTCCTTTTATTATGACAACCTGTGATACGGTATCTTTAATCACCTTTATACATAATTTAAATAATAAACTTGAGCCATTTGTAAATACTGGCTATTGGTGGGTAAAAAAAAATCGTAACAAGGTATGTTATTCCCCGTTTCACTCGTCCGCTCCGTATTGAGTTGTCTGGCCATTTATGCATTGCCAACATGCTGTAAAAGAGATGTTATCAGTATGGCTTTATATTTATTCATGATTAGAAAATATCAGCATCATTAATTGTCGAGAAATCAACAGATAAGTAAATCGTATCGATAGTAAAAAAATAACAAAATCGATTTAGAACTGGCAAAGGTATCCCACAACATACATTTAAAAAAATATCAGATAATTTACAACTTCATTCATTTTGAAATCGTTTAAAGGTAAACACTCAATTTAACCAGTCAGTACTTAAGTATAATATGTAATACTAGCAGTATTCCTCGGCTTTGTCCGCGTGTATCAGTGTATAAAGTATCCTATGTACTAAATTAGGATAAAACCTATTCGTATACCAAATTTCATTCAAATATATTAAGTAGTTTCTACGTTTGCTTTTTTTTACATAAAAGCGTAATAAACATTCTTCCATCTTCTTTCACCTAAAGAATGCTCCATTTTCATTGACTAATGTAGGCTATATATTATTTTCAAAAATTCTATCTATATAAATACGATAAGGTGGTAGATGTCATGTTGGATTCTAATATGCTGTCATAAATCCTTCTTACTACCCCATCAGGGGGGAGAGAAGGTATTATTAGTAACGCGGACTACCAGTTCCATTGCTACCAATATATCCTGTAAGGTCGACCTCCACGTGTCCGTGTGGTCTCTCCTAAAAACCATCATGCTGAATTCCAGGTCTATTCATCACGGTGAGCTAACTGACCTGACTTTTCATTCTCACCTATCATCACTCACTGATGCCCTGCCAGTGTATACCGTTAGCGCGGGCGGAGTTGCCATTCCATTATTATACTTAAAAAAATCTCATCATGGACAAAGTTTATTTATTTATTTATTTACACTTTACTGCACCAAGTAAAAAGAGAAATAACAAATACAGTAAATAATAATGAGAAGTGATACAAAAGGCGGCCTTATCGCTAAGCAATCTCTTCCAGACAACCTTTGGGTAGAGGACATTAAGAAAGACAAAGGGTAGGTGGCGCACTATTATATAAGTATTATCATATACAAACATATATACAGGTTCAGGTTTTTTTTTTCATACCTCGCATAAATTCAGAGAAATACTTACCGTATGATATAATAATAAATCTACTGGGTGGTAATTATAAAAAATAAGTTTATCTCTAAGTGGATAAGTTTAACAAAATCATTATTTATACTAAATATACGAAGTTCACAGGGTCCCCACGTACAAACTAGGTAACAAATTAATTGGCTATTAAATTCCATCGTGCCAATACAAGTTATAATAAACTAAATAGACTAATGAAATAATTCTGAATTACACGCAAATATATATTTACTTTACTTTTTTTTATTTATATATTTTCTGAGACGATATGTGCGTGTATATGCTTTATTTGTTAAGTTAGAGTATAACGTACCCGTGTATTAAATTTCATTTAAATTTATTCAGCATTTAATGCGTACTTGAGTAAGAAATATAACGAAATTTAAATATCTTAAACTCCAAACATTTTTACATTTTATTTTCCATTTATAATAATTTTTACACAGTTAATATGATGTAGCAATCAAGGTATCATAATAAGCTGAAATTATTTCAGAAACTAAACAACTGTTTTAAGGAATTAAAATGGAATAACAACTCGGCCTGCGCTATTGTTCCTCACATCCTTTATGTTTATAAACTATATACAAGCTTTGTATAAAAGCAATTGAGAATAGAATTAGAAAGGTCATGCAAATATTTACATATATAGAATGTTCTAGTCATTTACCTGAGGGGAGAATAATTTCTTCAATCCTATGATGGTGGCGAGTAAGAGAGCTATCTTGGAGATCAGGAGAGCCTTCCCCACCATCAACGTAAGCCCTTTGAAGGTCAAAGCTCCCAGGAGACCGAACTTCAAAGCTGCTGCCGCCAAGAATGGGCCCATGTTCTTATTACGGCCCCTTCCAGTTTCAATGGCTTTTGGTGCCTTTAATGCAACACCTGAAAATATTGATTATGATTTTCTTTTTCTCTAACTTGTTTAACTAAATTTTGAAAGAGATCTTATAAAAAGGGAGTAGGGTCTCAATTCGGTGGTATTTTTTTTTTTATCTTTATTAAACCGACTTAAAAAACCCTTTTTTCAGTGAAAGGATTGTAAACTGATTTAGAGAAAAAAAAATCGATTTGGCAATTTAGTTTTTGTAATCAAAATTGTTGGTCAAGAAGTTTTTTTTTTTCGTAAATCATAATCTTAAATAATATAGATTTTTTATTTATTTATAGGAATATTTACAGTACATTAATTTTGATATCAGATGTATCAATTTTCCATAGTGATAGGGAGTAAAAATCTAATAATTATGACAAAAAACCCTAATTATCGTGTTAAATTTAATCCTTATCTGTCCTAAAAACATTATCCCTAACAAGATCTACCTACACGAGATTGGTTTCTATAAAGATATATAATAGAATAAAGCTAATTTGGCTCAAATTTTAAAGACAATCATAACTGCTCAGTTTCTAGAAAGATAGTGCTTATATAGTTTAATTTGTAATTTATGTTTGTATTCTAGGAGTATTTATTTTTTTTAAACTGAATATTCGTATATATATATATATATATATATATATACATAACAGAATATAGTGTTTCACCCATGACACCCCATGCGTTGCCATTCCTGAGGTTTTAGGTATTATTCCTATGTACTCTGTAAATTCACTGCCATATCCCAACGTTCAAACCGAATCACAGCCATGTAAACAACTGTTTGACGGTAGAAACACGAATGGGACAGAGGTGCCCAAGCAAACGACTTTTGTACAACGTCTCCCTCAATTAATTACTTAGGTCATTTACGCTTTCCTATTCATTTTTCTGTTCTCTGACATTTGTTGTAGTTTCCAATACAGTTCCAGGAACTTGTATTGTATTCACTAGTTATTATTAAATATAAAATAAATTGCATTTATTTATAGATGTACAGAAATAGATATTTATACTGAAGTCGCAGGGAGGATTGAGATCAAATCGAAATTACATTGAATAGACATGAAATGTCGTGTAAGGTTGAGTTGGCGTCTTCTATGTGTCAAATCTAGATACGCGACAACGTGTCAAGCCGAATTTACGACAAGAACTGGCAAAGCAGCAGCCGTATGTTGTATTACACGGACTGTTTGGAGCCACTACTTTTCGTTTTTGTTACTATGGAATATATCGTGTTAATGTTTCAGTATTACCCACTACTAGTTCGGTAACGCCTATGAAGTTATTGTGACCACTCTAAGTTCCTAAAATTATAATTTCAGCTAATTTCTAAAACCAGTTCTCTACTAGACTGTACTTCTGGCTTATTCTATGAGATGATGAGACATACTTATACTATGTGAATATAGACTCTTATAGTAACTCAATTTTATTGACTACCGACTAAACCGTCTTTCAAAAAAAGCGTTAACGCACACTTTTTAATAAAATATATTATTCTCAATTTCGTGTATAATATAGTATATGTCATATATGTGTAAGTATATTTGTTATTTATATATATTTATTCGTTTATATATGTAATACGTATGTATATCAATAATTAGTAGTACCGCATTCGAGTATTCTGACACTTCCCTATGGTTGACTGGGAGAGAATGCTTTTAGCATTAATAAAATATATATATAGACTCAATTTTATTGCATATTATATTTTGCTCGAATTCAGTGTTTTGAGGCCAAATAATCAAAAAGACGTACACAGTGAATTCGCTTACCAACTCCTAGACTTCCATCGTTTTCTTCTTTACCAGAAATGACAAGGTCGGCGTTTTCCAAGAGTCTGTACCTCAGCGACCTGGTGGTAGCGAAGCGCCATAGCTTCTCGCTAATTAGTTGCTGAGCTTGGTCCTCCAAAGAGGTACCAGCTCGAGCTAGCGTCTCTGGTTTTACTTGTACTTCAGCTGCTACACCATTGCTGAAATTCGAAATATTATATGTTAGTATAATTCAAATTCAGAACAGAATCTATTTATTTATTTTTTCATTTATTATGGCACAAACATGTAACTTTCTATAGATGAAAAAGATTTTAAAATTAGCTAAGTAAATTTAGAGTTTATCCATTACAAACCAACAAACAAACAAATCTTTCAAATAAAAAAAAAAAAAAAAAAAACAACCGAGACATTGCAATTTATATTTACTTCTACAACTAAGTAAATTCTAATGATATACCATCTTCTAAAACCTACCAAACCGTCCCTTCGGCATTTAACTAATTAACCCAATGCACAGTTTAGAAATAGTTAAATTGGAAACTTCCTGTCTTATATTGTTTAGGAAATACGCACAAATCAAACTATCGCAGACAAACGCACATATCCAGTTTTCAAATAAATTAGTACTTATAAATATTAACTTGATAAGTAGCTTTTGAACTTATGAGACCTCTGTTTATTTTATCCACACCATATTTTGTACGAGTCAGTGAATGCAGATGGTTCGGGACTGTTCCTTATGGCAGTCTATGTGGAAACCTATATTCCCAATAAGCACACCATTGTCCTTCTAGAAAGTTGTTACCATTTCTTGTAGATATGAATAACATGATAATCATCATGAAATATAGTGATGACCATGACGCCTATGTTCACCAGTGGACAGTTAACGGCTGATATGATGATAATGATATTTTATATTTTATATGTTTTTTGTTTCTGCCTACCCTAATGGGAGACAGGCGTGACAGATATATATGTATGTATGTATGATATTTTATATCCATAACCCTCTCTAATCCTACTATCCTAGTCATCATCAACATGATCATCATATTAGCCCTTAACCGTCCACTGCTGAACACAAGCCTCCCCCTTGAGGGATTTGCCAGTAGTTGCCACGTTTGGCAGGAGGATTGGCAACCGCAGTTAGGTTTTTTTTTATACAACTCAGAATGGTAAACAAGCTGACGGCCCACCTGATGGAAAGTGGTAACCGTCGCCTAAAGACATGAGCAGTATCATGGACATAACAGAGTGTACTGTTTCGCCCATGATACCCGCCATGCGTTGCCATTCCTGAAGACTCAGATGTTATTCCTCTGTACCCTGTAAATTCACGTCATATCCCACCCTTCAAACCGAAACACAGCCATGTAAACACAACTGCTTCACGGTAAAAACACGAATGGGACAGAGGCACCCAAGTAATCGACTTTTGTACAAAGTCTCCCTCTGGTACTTTGTACAAAAGTGGTTTTAGAGATATTTAAAGAGGGACGCTGCTGTCCATCCTTCTATCCTAATATAACATTATAAATGTGAAAGTTTATAAAGAAGATTATTATTCAATTACGTTTAAATAGATACATAGATGGATTCTAAAAACTGTAATATAAATGCATGTAATTCCATAAAACTTAAGTAAGGCTATTCATACTCATACAAAGCTATGGATTGTAGTAAATAAATTTCTGTAAATCAACTATAGTTGAAATTTCTTCTATTAATGAAGTTAATTCATGTTCAAACAACTATAAATTTCATTTTAATTAAAATGGCTTCGTTGAATAATTTCACAATCAACACTGGCTGGTATTATATTATAATTGGACCGATAACCTTTCATTGTCCAGCATTGAATATAGGCTTAATAATCTGTATGGCTAATAGAGTACATATACCTACAATGCGTCTCCTTTTCATATACATAATAACGTAAGATACAAAAGAAAAAATATATATATTGCTTCAATTTAAGAAAGGAAATCTCTAAATTGAACCCCTTAAATATATTATACTCTCCTCTTATGAACAGAGGTCAGTGCCTAGCAACGGAATCTTGAGGGAGGGGATTAATTTTTTTTTTTAATGAATGTAGTTAGAATGGTACACTTAACTATGCTAACAGTATTCCTTAAATGCGCAACAAAAGAGGATGACACCGTGAGAATAAAGGAAGGTCAGTTAGCCCACCCTGGCAAATTCACTTCAAATTATTTAATTCATTTCAAATTATAATTAAATTAACAATAATGGTTTCCACATGAGACTGTGTGAAGCTTGACCTGACAAAGTAAAGTGTTAGAAATGGGAACTACGAGTAAAATGGACCCTATTGCTAGCAATATATCCTGTCATGTCAATCTCCAAGGAATTGCCTCTGAAATCCATCGTGATTAATTTCTGAAGAATTTATGACAATGAGTCAAGTGACTTGACTTCATCTTCACTTGTTACCGTATATATAGTCACTGGGATCCTACCAGCGTATACCGATAATTTAGGCTTGTTACTATTCCGCTTTATCATAAAAAAATGGGTTGTTATATAAAAATAATAATTCTTAGTCATAAACTATGTAGCACAAAATTAAAAAAATCATGGCCAACTGTCAAGTTAATACAGATGGCTCTAAATTTGTCCATGTCGTTTTAGGAAAAAAAATATAAGTGTTACTCATAGAAAACCTCCTTAAAAGACTGCTAATGTTTTGAACGTTAGATTGTATATATAAGTATGTTAACATAATACCTCTCATCTACAATCATTGCATCCTCGCTGAGCTGGAAGGAGGCAGTTCTGAGCATCCTGTCCACGTAGCCCACCAGCTCGTGCGCGATGCATGATGAGGTTTCCCGCGCTGCGCACTTGCTACTCAGACCGCGTTTGAGGGACTCTTCTGTTGGCGCCCGTGTCTGGAATGCACAATATAGCCAACAGATCTAAAATAAAGTCATGACTGGAATTTTAAATGGTGTAAAATTATAGCATGTGCAGACATAAAACATGTTGTAGGAATCGCAAATAAAAATTTTCTGCATATCTAGCTCTTCTTAGACGTTTAGGTTCGATGAGAAACAATTTTTAGTCGACTTCAAAGGAGTCGTAGTCAAAAGGACGTTTTCAGTTTGATTTTTTTTGTTAAGTCTGTTACCCCCTAACTTTGTTAGTTATAAACCGATTTGAAAGTGTTTCTTTTTTATCTGGAAGATTAGTTTCATTGAAATTTTATTAAAATCGGATCAGTAGTGTAGTTTTTAAATCAAAATGTCTAGTTTTGCCATGTTCAATCATGGACTGACAGGCACCAGTGATAGGGGAGAATGAAAAGGCAGGTCAGTAAGCCCATTATGATAAATTCACTAATGAATCAATTACAATAGTTTCCAGAGGGAACCGCGAGGAGGTCGATCTGATAGATTATATATGATATAGTAAATTAAATATATATATTTCAATATTTTTCCTATTTTATCACGCGTACCTAAAGATTAATAATAATATTGTAATAATTTATTGTTATCATTTCAGCCGTTAACTGTCCACTGCTGGACATAAACGTTCCCCATAAGGAGAGTGTTGCCAGTACTTGCTATGTTTGACAGGCAGGTTGGCAACTGCAGTTAGGTTTTTACAGATGTTTTAAGAGGAACGCTGCTGACCATACCTTGCCCTACCTTAGTCGTTTCTTACGATACCCACGGGAAATGAAGGGATGGCTCAGGCTATGTCGGAACCATACGAAGAAATTATGATAATAACAGTATCAGATTAACATGGAAATTAACCTTATCAGTTTCTGAAACAATTATCTAAATCAATTTAAATTTGTCAAAAATAAACAAATAAAATACGTATATAAAAGATGATACGCGAATAGAAAATCACAATATTAATTTCGAATAATCCCAGCATTGTTGATAACATATACGTATTTCAGTGCACGAGTTTTAACGTTTAAATTAACGTACGTAGGTACAAATTACAGAAATAAATTCGTAAAGCAATTGTTATTACTAGAACTAACTTTATTTAATTTCTCTCTGCTTTCAATTTATTTAAATATACGCAGATCTCGCATGATGAATTTGAAAACAAAAACTAAGTTATAAGAAGTTATCTACTTAGGAAATTTGCTTGTGAATAGGTATTCCGTAGGAATGAATTATACACACAAGATAGTTGGAAACAAATCTGTTTGTAAATGGCTTTATGAAGGTTTTACAGTTTATCTATATTTCTGTATAGATCATGCAGTATCATACCTATTGTATGACAAAATACAGGATAAGGAATAAGCTTTAGAGGGTTTTCCAAAATAATTAGAAGAAATATTCCAATATTTTTTGGAACGATATTTTAAATTTATGTCTATGTTACAAGATATCTTTAATCAATCAATTTTAATGACCTTTTTACCATCAATGTACAATGATTATAATGAAGCATATACTTAGTACTTACTAATAAATTATAAATTTTAATTTTAAATTTTTTTTTAATATTGAGTAATGACATAGTTATAATATTGAATTTTAAATTTAGAAAAATAAAAATAATATCTATCACATTTCAGAAGTAGCGATATAATCGCTTAATACGCCCGTAAAAATCATACAACTGGAAGATTTACTTTTAAAAATCGTTTAAAACAACTTCTAAATTCAACAAGATAATCAGAACAAATGAAAGTAAATCTAATATGTATTATGAGACGGATCCCTTCATTTCCCTTCGTACTAATAACAAAAGGAAAGCGGGCTATGATTAACATCGGCAAATATAATGAAGTCTTTTGAACACTTGAGTGTGGGTAGTTAAATCTGATTGGAAGACACCCCTACATGTAATTTGAACTAGTAAGGTATCGGTCTATGAGTGAAGTACTATAATACAAAAGTTCCATTCTGAGAAATTGTACGAGAACATCGAAAATTAAGTAAGTACCTCGTTTTAACTGGCTTCAAAATGGAAAAGTTTAATCAATTCCGCTCTATTATTTGTGTGTATACTTGTATTAAGCAATTTTTTTGTGCCAGTAAAATGAGTTTTCTCGGAATTGAAAGACTTTTCTCATATAGATGAAGATTGAGGCCGTATGTACTTCACCTCATTTAAGTCAATCCCTAGGGGGAAGGAATTGTCAGCAACGGTGTTTGACAGCCCCATTGCTAGCAATATACCCTATTAGGTAGACCTTCACGAGGTTCTCCCTGGAAATCATCGTGAATAATTCTTGTTGAATTCATCACGATGGGCTAACTGACCTGCTTCATTCTCACCTATCATCCTCCACTGGTGCCCCGCCGGAGTATACCGATAACGCGGGTAGGGTTACCATTCCATTGTTATCTATTAAAAAAAAAAGTAAGTCACTACTAATTATTTTTTACTTCTTTTTAATCCACTGGTGTGGCAAACAAACATACGGCCCATCTGATAGTAAGCGGTTACCGAAGTCTATGAACGCCTACTATACTAGGAGCATTACGCGCGCACTACCGACCCTGAATACCTCTTTATCCCTTTTCTGAAGAACCCAACGCTGACCTCGACAGGGAGCTCATTCCATAACCCTAGCGTTTGTGCAAGAAAACATATACGGGAGAATAAACATAAAGTCTTGCTTTGGTGTTATAAGTGTTATTTATTTATACATATAGAAATACTGCTCCTATATTAAAATTTCCCAATAATAAATAAATGTAATACCACAGATAAAATAACCGCCGAATCACTTAATTTGTGGTTGTAGCCCACTCATATATAAACGATATATCAAATAACGAATATAAACACATTTTATATCCTGAGAAGATAAAAAAACATCGCTACAAAAAATATCTTAAAATTCCTAACACTGATAGGAATTAGCAGCGAAGTTTAAAAAAGGACGAGCGCCAAAGATCATTTCAAAGGTCGTAAAGTCACAGGCTTTGAAAAAAGCCCTTCCTTTAATAATAATAATAATAATAAAACAGATAAAATATAATAATATCCGTAACGCTTTGAGAATTCCGTAAACATTTTTCCACGTAAATTTTATGAAGGAGCAATGAAGCGAAATTTAGTAGGAGTAAGAATGTATTATTTATACATATATATTTTTATATTATAAATATATATTAATTATATGCTACTTTTAATGCTAAAATAGATGCTAATGGTATTTCCGTTTATACTATTAGTGTATATCTATACTAATCTTATAAAGAAAAAAGTTTTTAAATTTAAATTTTATGGTCTTGTATTAATTTTATACACGTATATAGTTGGCCATATGGTCCCGTCGCCATAAAATGAGGACTCCCTGTTATTCCTCTGTACCCAGTAAATTGTCATAAGAGGCGATAAATCGAAACACAGCCATGCAAATACAACTGCTTCACGGTTTTTTTAATGGGTGATAATGCAATAGTAATCGACTTTTGTAAGTCTACACTCTGGTTTATACTATTAGATGTATAGATGACAATGAAAGCAAAAATTAATTCAAATTTTATGAAATTGTATTAAATTTATTATTTATATATAGTTGGCCGTATGTTCCCGGCATAGAATAGGCTATCCCTTTCTTTCCTGTGGGTGTACTAAGAGGCGACTAAGAGGAATGGGCAGTAGTCTCTTAGAACATCTCTAAAGTCTGACTGCGGTTGCCAATCTGCCTGCCAAGCATGATTACTACTAGCAAAACCCAACGAGGGGTAATGCCAGATCTCAAATGGGGTAAATATATCAATATATAATCCATGATACGCATGATGCTATTCATGTCTAATAGCGATAGTTACCATCGTCAATTAGGAGAACTATTAACTTGTTTACCATTCTATGTATCGTAATAAATGCATTATTTCGTCATGTATGTACCCCAATAAGGACGATAATATATTACTATTTAAAAGACATTTTTCATCTCTTTCGTATTCATCAATCCATTCATACAAACTGGCTAGTTACGAGTATTTTCAACTTGACTCTTTAGTGTATCACTTATTCTTTTTTTTTTATACCACAAACTATAATAGCAAGGCAAATAAGCATACAGCCCGTCTGATAGTAAACGTTCACTGTAGCTTTTGGTCGCCTGCAACACTATGGGTGTCACGTGTGTGGTGCCGATCCTAAAGAAACCTTAATATAACCTTTTTGAAGAACCCCATACTGTAGTCTCTAGGGAAAACCTTGGCTCATTCCACATCTTGAGCGTTCGTGGGAGAAAATTTCTCTGAAACCGCACCGTACGTGACCGTTTCGGTTCAAGCGTGTGAGGATGAATTCACCGTCGATGGCGAACGGTGCGATGATAAAATGATGATTTTTGTTAAAAAATTATCCATATAAAGCATCCTTTACTTATACAATCGTTCCCAAACGATATTTTAATGACTATCCAATTTTTTTGGCCCTTTCTAAACGATTAGATCAACACAATGCCCTTTTTCAATCTTCAAAACTAAATAGTGTATTTTATCTGTAATAACAATGTGCAATTTTAAAAGGATGACTGGATTTATGTTGTTGATTCAGCATAAATATCTGGGCGGATTTGAAAAATATTTATGTACACAAATGAACGATTCGTGTGTTAAATCTATTGAAACATGCGAATCCGTGAGTAAAACATCAGCTACATTTAATACTAAGCTAAACAAAATAAACCTAACATTGTGCACTTAACTAAACTAAATAAAAATAAAATAAAAGCGAACTAACTGCCGTTATTAATGTATTTATACTTTTACACACATTAAAATATGTCCACAGGGCGGACTTAATACATGATGGCGTTCTTTACCAGTGAACCGTTACGCTAAACAGAGAGAGTAAATGGCAGTGCATTGAAATAACGAAATCAGTTTGTAAATTAAATAAATACTATATATAACAACAGAAGTACATCTTAAGATGAACG